GGGCCAAAGAAGCCCAGGATGAGCTGGTGAAGACCAAGGAGAGCTGCACCTGGAGATGACGGTCCCGCCACCCGCCACCGCCCGTGTACGAACCTGTGAATTACCACGTATAGGAGAACCTGCAGGAGGAGGGTGCAGAGCCCACGGACTATAGCACTGAGTTCTCCAGAGAGGGCACCGAGTTGTCCCAGACCAGAGATGAAAGCAAAAGGACCCACAGCGACATCATCCACAATGAGAACATGAGCCAAGGCCGGGACAAGTACAAGACCCTGCGCCAGATCTGGCAGGGCAACACCAAGCAGCACATTGGTGAGTTCAAGGCCATGCAGAGACCAGGGCAGGGCCTGGGCATCTGGAGCGGGGCTCTGCCGGAGGGCCCGGCAGCCTGGGCGCACTGGCTCTTTAGTACTCTAGATCTAGAAACCCCTTCACCACGCTCCAGGTCCCTTAAAGGGGAGGTACCGGTGGAAGCACTCTGGGCCAGGTGCCACCCTGATTATTTTTCCCAGCTGTGTCATAGTGCCAAAAGGTCTAATTTTTCTAATTATCAAATCACTTCCTGTTGTATCCTTGGAGCAGGACTGATGGAGTTATGGTGCCTACAAAATCCAAGTACAGACTTCACACTGGCAGCTGTGCAAGGTTCAGTATCGTTAAAGAGACTACATTGTGGGCCGGGGAGATGGCTCAGTGGACTAAGCACTTCCCTGGCAAGCACAAGGGTCTGAGTTCAATCCCCAGTTCTGCCAAAAATAAAGAAAGAAACCGCATTGTGGCTTGCATCTGTGCCATACTTTTAAAATAAGCTTACACTGATTGATTTGTTTTTTATTTCTATGAAGGATTTATCTCCATATATGTACATGTTGTGAGAGGTAAACAGTTAAGCCTTGCGTAAACTAATGCCCTGCCCCCCATACGATGGCTTCTTTCCTCCAGATGTGCTGCTCAGCTGGCAGAATCCGCCACAGTCACTTGGGATGGATGATCCGGAGGACTCCGATAAACTTCTGGGTTTTTGCTTGAACAGTAGTAAGAATACATTGTTGGACTTACACCTAACTAATAATCAGCCAGAGTATAGTATTTTTATGTAAGTGATAATCTGGGTTTGTAACATTAGTTTTAAAAAGGAAAAGTTTTTGTTTTTGTTCTGCATATTTTGTTACCTTTTACAGAATAAAAGTTGCATATTAAAAACCACATAAAAAAGGTCAAAAAAAGGGAAAAAGGTCTTTCCTTACTCAATAGAATAATTGCATTCCTAGAAAACTCAGTGACTACTAAAACTGTTGCTAAATTCTTCATCATAGGTAGAACAGAGAGTGTAGGTTCAAAGCTTCATCATTTTTCATTTGTATCAAGTATCTGATGACATTGACAGATCAAAAAATTGGGAGACAATTTTTTTTTTAATGATTTTTGTTGTTGCTGGTGGTAGAATGTTTTGTTTAGCGTCCCAGGACCTGGGATTTCCCAAGTGCTTCCCGTCCCCGGCTAAGGTCAGTTCTTCCTGGGAGGACAGAGGAAAAGTAAGTGCTGAGCTTCGCTGGCCACAGTGCCTCGCCGTCTCCCTGTTGCTGGCCTTCCCTAGTCCTCTGTAGGACCTCACAGCACCCCAAATTCTGCTTGCCAGCTAGCCCAGACCTTTATAGGAATCACTTATGTACACCAAACACTTATTTCTGGTATCAAGCTAGTTCTATTTCATGTAAAGAAAAGGTAAAAATATACTAGGAGGAATGGGGTTTTATTATTTTTTTTAATTTACCATTTTACTTGGTATCAAATAATTTGAGGTTCCTTGTCTTCAGCAGGACTTTGAAACATTTTCCTCTTGCATTACCATCTTTTCTCACAAGATGGCGCTAAATGCCCTGCTGTGGGTGGTCAGTGGTGGTGGCAGTTTGGCATCCAGGATGCCTCAGTTTAAGATAAATATTGCAAGTGGGTGTCCAGGATTAACCGCGGGGCTTCTCTGGTGTCCAGAATTAGTAATAACCAAGATAGAAAAAAAGTGCCACCTCTCTGTTTTCCGTGTAGGTGGGGAAAGCTTTATTTTAGTCAGCTATAAAAGGTTGTAAAGGGCTGGAGAACTATGTACCTCAGTAGCACATCAGTTGTCCAGTATGTGTGAAGTCTTTGGTTTGATCCCCAGTGTAGTTATGAAAAAAAAGGTGAAATTAAGTGGCGTAATCACATCCTAAGGAATATTTTAGGGTGGTTTCATTTCTTGAAATGTAGCCACTCATTTGGCAAATGTTTGCTATATAAGTTGTAGAATATCATAATGCACCTAAATTTAGCCTTACTTGAGATAAAATTTTAACTAACATTTCTTTGAAACCTTCTGTGGTTGTAGAACTGCTCAGAGAACAGACACTAAGTAGTTTCCCATCATACTCCAGTCACTTGCCGTGCAGAGGTGGTTCAGTGTCCTTCTCGAAGGCTGACAAACATCTCATCCCAGGCGCCATTTCTGGAGATTTAACAAACATACACGGTTACAAAGAGGGACTTTGACCACAGTCTTGGGATGATCGCAGGCCAGGTGATGGTCTGCGTGCCAGTGATCTGCGTGGTGTCTGTGTGGTGCTGGACCCTGGGCTCTTGCTCCCTCCCTGAGGAGATTTGTGAGGGCACCCCAGGCTGGGCCCAGTCAGAAAGTCAAAGGCGTTACAGTCTGTTGAGTGCCAAGCACTGGGGCCTTATGGGAAAGGACAGGAGACTTGGAGCCCGGGGGGAGTGGGGAGTGGCCAAGGGTGACCGCTAAGGACACTTCCTTTGAATCCACTATGACACTCGACCTCTGTGTTAAGAGGGGAAGCTTTTAACTTACATGGACTTGGAACAAGCAGGTCGGCCAAGCCATCAGGGAGGCCACAACCGCATCGTCACCCAGCCTGGGTCCCAGATCCTCTGGGTTGCGCGGGCCCCTGAATCACAGACAGCAGGCCGGGTGTGAGGAAACAGAAAGCAGTGAATGGGACCCATTTCAGGGAGCTGTGAGACACGGAGCTTAGGAAACTGAAACCACCGCGTGTAGGTGCAGCACTTCCTCTTCTAATTTCTCACAGTGCCAGCTCCAGCTAGCTGGCTACCTACTGCGACATCGCCTCCAGAGAAGGGTGCCCGAGCCTCTGGACTAAGCTCACACAGTTTCATTCCTCAGAGACTGGGGGTTGGTGACTGCCACAGAAACAGCACAAGAGACCCCCAGACTGTTCCGCTAACTCACTGTACAAGAGAGAAGTATGCATGTCTTGGTGACACACTCCTCCTGAAACACTGCCCTGGGAGGTCAGATTGCAGCAGGAGGCGCTGAGCAGGCTGGGCTGGTGGTGCAGGAGTTCCCACCACCCCCGACAACCTTGCGGCTGCACCCTGCACCCCAACTCCATCCCACCGGCTACAGCTGAGTTTCCCAAACTTTCCCAGTTCTCAGCACCTTCGTGTTTAATTTCTTGACAGCCTTCCTAGGACAAGAGCAATATCCGACAGTGAAAGTAACTTAATAGACATAGATGTGCTGCCAACGCAGAGGCTGTTTAAAAAAAGGAATGGACGTAACTTAACATACTGCTTTTTCTTCTAATTTTATTTTTAAATAATGCAGTAGTCTCACACTTACCAGCCATCCCCATCCTTGTTTCTTCTTCCACACTAATTTTCATACCATATATGTTTTTTTAATCCTGGGGGAACTACCAAAAATCCAGCTTTATAAAAGGGTGCAGGACCATACCAAAGAACGTCGTGTGATTTAATGTTGAAGTGGTGAAGTACCTCAAGCCAGTAGTACACATAGGATCTGACAGGTGGCGACTCTAATGGTTTCCCTCAAAAATTTAAGCCATTCATGGTGCCCCTGTGAGCTTTCTGGGGCTACCTGGACTTGTACCACACACTTTGGGGACAAGGATGGAATTTGCTTGTGTCATTGCAGGTAGCTGCAAGGAGATTGCAAATAAAATCTACTTAATTTAGTCTCATAGCCTGGACAATGATCACCTCTATGTAATCGTAATAATTATAATGGACATCATTCACTGAGCACTTGGTAGGTATTTTACTGAGGCCTTTTACTTGTGTTTACAGCTGACCTGCACAATGCTGTCGACATTGGTACAATATATGTGTATATACAAGTAAACTTCTGCTTAGAGTATCTTGCCTGAAATCATTTAGTAATTAAGTGCCAAAGTAGAATTTAAAACTGATTTTAGAATTCTCTTAACTGCTAGGCAATATTGCCTCTGACATTTACTGGATACAAAAATAAAGAGAAAAAAATAAAAAATAAATAAATAAAGAGAGGGGCAGGGGCGATAGCTTGGCGGCAAAAGCGCCTTCCTGGCAAGTGCAAGGTCCCCAGTTTGATCTCTGGTACCGCACGCCATGATGTAATGACACCCTGTATCAATAAAAAGAAAGTACGAAATGAAGAGAAGCATCATGTATTTGTGTGACATCATTTCCTTCTCTATCTAATCAATATTACCTTTTATATGATAGTGATCAGTAGACTCGACATTGAATTCTTTTTTCCTTTTTTTTCTTACTGTATTTGGTACAGGGTCTCACTACACAACTCGAACTCGTGGTGATCTTCCTGTTTTCAGCCTCCTGGCACTAGGACTACAGGCGTGCACCACCATGCCCAGTCTTGGTGGCTGGCTCAGTGCGCCCAGGGATGGGGCTGATGTGGAATGTGGTCCGAGGATCGAACCCTGATCCCTGTGCTTGCCTATGCTGACATTTAGTTCACTCAGCTATCTCGCCTCAACATTGAATTCTTAAAGTGCTGCTGAGCCAAAAGGAAGAATTGAGATTTCCTAAAAATAGTTGTGTTAATGTCTCACAAATTCCAGTCTGAGATAATACAGTAGTAAAAGCCATGGCCACCATTACTCTGGCGTGGCATCGGGCCACCCCTAGCCTGTAGAGGTGCGACCCAGCACATTTTGCTCACGTCTGATTGCCCACTTGTGTTGCAGGAGGCCGAGGTAAGGATGGCGCCCCCATCATCACTTTTCCAGAGTTTGTGGGCTTCACACGCATCCCTGAGGAGGACTTCCTGAACGTGCTCACCTACCTGACGAGCATCCCCAGGTGAGCGTGTGCCTCGCCACTGAGGTCTCAGTCGCTTTCCCATGGCTGAGACCCAACACCCCCAACTTAGGAGAGGGGTGTTCTTTTAGGTCAAGATTTCAGTTTAGGCTCTGTAGGCTCGGGGCAGAAGTAGGAGGTGGAGAGGCGCAGCAACAGAGGAAGTGGTGTCCAACCGGGCTGTCAGGAAGCAGACAGACAAGGGTGGAGCCAGGGATAAAAATAAACCCTTCTGTGTCATCCCCCAGTGGTCCATCCCTGACCTGAGGACCTAACAGCCCACTCTGATGAGAGGGCACCCCATGACCAGTCCTTTCACATATAGGATTTGGGGGGACATTTTATATCACAACCACACTGGCCGTACTTCACCTCTCCCATGGGGCAGGCTGGGCTGTCACAGAATTCTACCCGAGCACAGTTACCGCTCGCAGGTAACTCAGTCAGGCGACATGGAGAGACGGCATCGAGAGGCCAGGCCTATGGGCTTGGGCCGCAGCGCATGTGCACGTGGCTCTTGGTAAACAACGTGGAGTGGAGGGAGGGTCGACTGGGTCCCTGATGAGGCCTGGCTCATCCAACTCTGTTGATCTATATGGAGGCCAGGGCCAAACTGTATGACTGTCATGGTCTCAGTGAGAGCAGCTCTAAGAGACAAGATTAAAGGAGTAAATACAGGTGTAAAAAGAGTCGCGTCATTGCAAAAAGTACCCTGTGCCGCAGCTCAGAGTCCGAGAAAGAGAAGAGCATCCACATCGTAAGCTAACAGAAGGAAATAAACAATGAAGATCAGAGTGGAAATGAATGAACTTGAGGCTTTAAGAACAATGCCAAGGGTCAGTGAATCAAAGGGTTGGCTCTTTGAAAAGATTGGAAGGGGATCAGAGGAGGGGTGATGGGAGGAAAGAAAGGGGAGGTGAAAAGGACCAGGATGTGGTATGTGTGTGTCCTAATTTTCCACTGCGAATTGTATTTACTCTTATCGCAAACATAGACTAACAAAAAATTGAGGAAAAAATACATTTCAGTGAAAAAAGTAAGATCGAGAACAATATGGGGTATGTGCGACCAACCGTGTAAAATCCTGCACACATAATTGTCCTTGTCTGATGGGGAAACGGAGGCACAGAGCAAGCAAGTGAACAAACCCGGCATAAAAGTCATGTTCACAGTGTAGCCCAAGAGAAATGTGTTCTGCCATTTGTTGCCTGTGCCCCTGTCTCACATTTGTGTGTCACTTGAGGCGACCACATCCCTGGGTCTCTAAGGGATGGAATAGGGGCAGGGTTCCTAGTGGTCACCACATTTCATGACAGATATAGCTGGGAGCGGAGTCTAAGTCCTGCTCCAGACAGGAGGGGCCTTGCCCCGAGTGGGTTCGTGTTGCTCCTGACAGCATCCCTTCCTTGACTGGGGTAGCCGGGATTTGCACAGCAGCTGTGTGCATGCTCTGGTGTGAGCTAGAGGTGAGCATCAGCCTTGGAACCAGAAGGCCACCTGCGGTCAGGTCCCCTGGGGAGATCAGGACGCCCTTGCCTTGTGTTAGCCAAGCCCACTCTGAGTTTTTTGCTTTTTCTTATGCCTGTCTCACTTCTTCAGAGAAGGCTGTCGATTTCTTTTCATACACTCTTCAGTCATCCTGAAATCAGATTTCAGCAGGTGCCCCTTTCTAGGAATGCTTAAGTTGCATCTCACCCTGTCCCCTCCCTGTCACCCTGACTCCTTTATGGTACGTGAGCATCTGGGGCAAGAAGTGCTGCACATCCCTGGGTTTGGCTAACTTGGTTTCCGCCCCCGAGGCCGACTCCTGCCCCTTCTGCAGCCCTTGGCGTGAACCTTGGGTCTTTAGGGAAGCCACCCAGACCTGTTCTCACAGCCTCTCTCTCTGCTTAACTTCCCTCATCCCTGAGCTTCCAGCTTCTTGTAGAGCTTGGAGACTGTTCAGGCCTCTCCGGAGAGCGAGCGTCTCCAGAGCAGGGACTGCTGCTTGTTTTGTTTTGCATTTTGGCCTCCAGCCATAGCGCAGCTCTTAGCCATAGAGCAGTTCTGGGCACAATCAAGAGATAGTGTTGGTAGGATTTCCAGTTTTAATAATGGCCCATTCCAGACCCAAGGTGGTAGGGTAAGAAGGGGCACACTGGCAGGGAGAGGGGCACTCCACTCATCCCTGCTACCTTAGAGTAGACCAGGTTTCTTTTCTTTTTTTGCCTGTATTTTAGGGCAGGGTCTGTAGGGTGTTCAGGGTCTCACTACTAGATTAGACTCCTGGTGATTCTCCTATTTATAGCCTCCCAAGAGCTGGGATTACAGGCATGTGCCACCACGCCTAGTCTCAATTGCTGTCTCAGTGCATCCCAGGGGTAGGGCCAGCATGGCAGGCCTAGGGATTGAACCCTTGGCCCCTGCACCTTCTTGCAGGCACTTTAATCCACTGAGCTATTTGGCCAGCCCTTAGACTAGGGTATAGGAGCCCCTTCCAGGTCCTTGTCTCAGTCCAAGAAGCCAATACTTATAATCCCAAAATTGCATTATTGGAATCCCATCAAGTTAATTCCAATCTACCACTCCCAGTGCAACCCACGATGAAAGTAAAGGCACTAAAACATATTTATAATCATTGGGGCGCCAAGGGGCTCTAGGTCCAGCCATGAAGATGGCTTTCTGGAACCAAGAGGCTGACCCAGGGCCTCACCCAGTTTTATTCAGTGGGGGAGTGGCTTGAGAAGGAATGACTGAGAATTGTGGGAAGTAGGTGACTACAGTGAGCTGAGTTAGGTGGATGGCCTGCATTTACCTCTGCCGTATACAGAGAGGATATGCAGAGACAGTAATCTGCTTTATGCTAGTGAGATAGTATCTGATGTTTTGGGGGGACTGGTGCTTCAGCTTTGATGTAGTCTTTCAAGCCCCAGGAAGTCATGGCCTCTGTCTCGAGGCTCGATCCCAGCTGGCGGTGCGGAGCATTGGCTCTTCTGTCCTGTCTCTACGTGGCTCACATTAAAGAGCAGCAGATACAGGTTACCAGGGAAACACACACGCCACCTCCAAAGACTATCACCAGCACCTCAGCTGGACCAATACACATTGCTTAAGGCCAACTGAAGGATAAACAGAAGTCATGGCCAGCTCTGTACAAAACAGTATGAGGAAAAAGGGTCAGGCTCAGTCAAAATGGTAACAGTCGTTCTTCTTTCATGGAGAGCTGCTCAGGTGGTCCTCCACACCGGGGTTTTAGGGAGTTGGACTTGAACTCCTTCCTTGGCCTAATTGCGGTGTGGCAGGGAGGGTGACCTCCAGGACCCATTCTCTTTGTGTTTGTTTTAAGCTCACTAATTTTTGATTCCGCTGGACAGAGCCAATCGTTAAGTTAAATTGGTGATCTTGGGCTTTTCCCAATCAGACCGAGGACCATGCTCCAGAGTGGTCTGAAGCAGTGCAGAGAGAGGTCGAAGGCTTAGATATAATTCCTGCCTCAGATGGAGAAGAGAATGTAAAGTGGCTGGCTGCTGTTTTGGTTCCATCTGCTTTATGTTCCTTTCCTACATCTTCTATGCTATGCAGTGTTTGCTTTCCCAGAATGCTGTTTGCTTCTGGAGAATTGTGACTGTCGGAGCAGTCACCACCCTTTCCTTTTTGTGACTTCTTCTCATTTCCCCTGGCTTTGTCTCACCCCTTGTCCCTTTCAGTAGAAAGCAGAGACAAAGCGTAAGAAGGCTTGAGGAGGGATTTGAGCTGAGCCTCGACTTGCACTGCTAGTTCCAAAGAACAAACCATCCTGTTTGTTTTATGATGTATTTTTCATGATATGTATCTTGCTTCACGTTACCCGGATACCAGAGCCCTTCCCAGTTTGCAAATTGTTTCGTAGGCAGTTGGTGGAAGGCACATGGCACACAGCGAGGCAGCATAGCTTCAATACCTAGAACAGGAAGACGGCAGGGTGCTCGGGCTGGGGCCGGCTAGCCCTGTGCCTGCAAGCATCTTCCGGGCAGCAGCAGCCCAGCCGGCTCAGGAGAGTGCAGACAGGTCTTGCTGAGCGACAGCGGCATGCAGCGTGCAGTGCGAGGTGCTCTAGAGGGCCTGCAAGGGCAGGAGGCGAGGCCTCGAACCCTAGGAAGCCCTTCGCTTCGCTCTGCCAACAGGATGGTGTGAGCAGTATGGTGATTAGGTTGTTACGGAGCTCAGGAGCCTGAAAAGTCACTCAGACACACGGAGAGCAGGGACAGTTCGAGGAATGAAACGTTCTCACTTACGGGACAGGTTGGGAGACAGCTTTCTGTGGCATCATCTGGGCTGAGTGGCCTGGCGTCTATTTCTGGTCGCTTTGGTTGTGACCGTTTAAACAGAGTGTGTTTGGGTCTTAGCACCCATGGGTGACTGCAGTGGAGTGGGCTGTCTCCTAACTGTAGCGGGACCCGAGGGCTGGGAGCAGAGGGCCGAGTAGGGGCCTGAGGTTCTGGGGAGCTGATCTGGTGACGGCCCAGGGTGGATGGAGCCAGCAGGGAGGAGGACAGCAAGGCCTCCGCGCCCCCAGCTGCAGAGTGGAGGGTGATGCAGGAGACTGGATGGAAAGGGACACACAGGGAGGGGCCACACAAGAAGTCGGGCGTCCTGGAGGTGAGGGCGGAGAAGCTTCAGAGCCTTACAGTTCTGTCTTGTTTTCACGTGTCTGGTGCGTGGAGTTCAGGCCTCGTTTGCTTTTGATGGTCTCCTTTTACTGATTCTTTTTGGCTCTTCCTGATCAATGTCATGCTGAGACAGTGGTTCCCCAGCTTGGCTGCCTTGGGGGTCACCCGGAGAGATGTTAGACCCTAATCGAGACCAATTAGATCAAGGCTTCTGGGCGCAGACCTGGCATCCCACTGAGCTTCCAGCAATAGGTCACTCCCCTCTGCAGCCAGGGCCCGGTTCCCCAAGCTGGGAACAGGGCAGACAAAACCGTGAGGTGGAGGAAGAAAGCTTGGGATGAGGTGTGGCTTTCTGGTAAAATGAGGCAGTGGGAC